GGTCCCACTTGTCTATTTTATCTCTTATGGCGTGGGCACTTGGTGTTTTGATCAGGAATTGTTTGCCAGTTCCAATTTCCATAAGGTTGTCTCCTGCATTTTCTAAGGTTCTTATAGTTTGAGGTTTTACTCTTAGCTCTTTGATCCATTTAGAGTTGATTTTTGTGTATGGTGATAGGTAGGGACTTTGTTTTATCCTCTGCATGTGGTCTGCCAATTTTCCCAGCACCACCCACTGAATAAGTTCTCCTCTCCCCAGTGGTTGTTAGGGGAGGTTTTGTCAAAGATGAGTTTCTTGAGAAATTGAGGTTTTGCTTCCAAAATCTCTATCCTGTTTCATTGGTCTATATGCATGTTCCTGTACCAATACCAAGCTGTTTCAATTATTGTAGGCTTATAATAAAGTTTAAACTCTTTTGCTGAGAATTGTTTTGACTATTCGTGTTCATTTATGATTCCATATTAATTTCTGTATTGTTGTTTCCAGATCTGAGAAGACTGATGCTGGTAATTTAATGGGTATTGTGTTATATCTGTAGGTTGCCTTGGATAGGATGGACATCTTAACAATGTTGATTCTTCCAATCCATGAGTATGGAATATTTTCCCATTTGTTTTTGTCATCTTTGATTTCTTTGAGGAATGTTTTGTAGTTTTTGTTGTATAGGTCTATCACTTCTCTAGTTAGGAAGATGCCAAAGTATTTCATTTTTGTGTGTGGCTATTGTGAATGAGATTGTGCTTTTTATTTGGTTCTCTGCCTGTTTGTTGTTGATGTATAAGAATGCTATTGTCCTTTCCACGTTTGTTTTGTACCCTGAGACTTTGCCAAAGTCCTTTATCAGTGCAAGATTTTTGACAGATTCTCTTGGATTTTTGAGGTATATGATCATATCGTCAGCAAAGAGGGATAGCTTGACTTCCTCTTTCTCTACTTGGATACACTTGATGTCCTTTTCTCATATGATTGCTCTAGATAGGACTTCCAACACTATGTTGAACAAGAGGGGTAAAAGTGGGCAGCCTTGTCTTGCTTAGGTTTTCGGGGGAAATGTTTCCAATTTTTGTCCATTTAACAACATGTTGGTTGTAGGTTTATCATAGATGGCCCTTACTATTTTCAGGTATGTTCCCTCTATGCCTAGGTGTTCAAGGGTTTTTATCAAGAAGGGATGCTAGATTTTACTGAAAGCTTTTTCTGCATCTAATGGTATAATCATGTGATTCCTATTTTTACATCTGTTGTTGTATTTAATTGCATTTATGTATTTAATTGCATATAATGTTGGGCCAGCCCTGCGTCCCAGCGATGAAGGCTGTTTGGTCATGGTGGATTTCCTCAGTGCACCCTCTCCACAGTTCTCTCTTCCAGTGCCTGGCCCATGCCATGGGTGGTGGCATGAGCCAGGTACCAGGTGCTGAGAGCAGCTGACCTCCACTGCCTCTTTCTGGGAGACCCCAAAGAATGACTGACAATCCTGCATGCCGGGGGCTCCGATCTCAGGGCAGTAGTGGGTTTCAGCTACTTCTGAAAGGGAGCCCTGGGACCGAGTCTCCTCTCAGACGAACTTTCACTCACACAGCGGCACTCACCCACTCAGACTGTCTTTATGGACACTCGCCCTTGCAGAGTCTTTCATGCTTCCACTGGTTTCGTGACCATCTTGCCTCCCCCAATTCAAAAATTATTTTATATTTAACTTTTTTTTTTAGTTTTCTGCATTTTGCTTTTTATTTATTTTTATTTTAGAGTTGTGAGGTACAAATGGGGATTTACTACATAAGTTCATTGTATGCAGGTGAAGCTTAGACTTTGAACTGGCCCTCTCTCCCCTGATAATGGACCAGGTACTCATTGTGCTTCCATGTGCCCTCTTCTCTCCTTCCTCCCTCCCTCCCACAGCAGTGTCTAGTGTCAGCCAAGCTCACCCTTGTGCTAGTGTGACTAGTGTTCAAGGCCCACTTATGAGTGAGAACATGTGGTATTCAGTTCTTTGTTTCTGTGTTAATTTACTTAGTATGATGATCTCTAGCTGTATCCAAGTTATGGCGAAGGTCCTGATTTTGTTCTTCTTTATGGCTGCATAATATTCCATCATGTATCTGTACCACATTTTCTTTATCCAGTCCACTTTCGGTGGGCATCTGGGTTGGTTCCATGTTTTTTGCTGTTGTGAATAGTGCTGCAATAGACACACATGTGCAGGTGTCTTTTTGATGAGCGATTTATATTCTTCTGGATATGTTCCCAGGAGGGAATTGCTGAATTTTATGGGAGCTTGATTTTTACTTTTTTGAGGAATCGCCACACTGTTTTCCACAGAGGCTGAACTAGTTTATGTTCCTACCAACAGTGTAGATGCATTCTCTTTTCTCTGCAGTTATGCCAAAGTCTTGTTTCTTGACTTATTAATGATAGTCATCCTAACCGATGTTACAAACAATAATAATTAATTTTTAAAGTAATAAAATTATATTGTAGAAATAGCAAATAAAGCCGTAAGTAAATACAAATAAACATAATAACAAATGAGAAGATATTACTTTTCAGAAGTTTAGATTACCAATCTATAAAATAGAGAATATAGATGGTCCCTAACAAGTGACAGCTTGACCTACAATTTTTCAACTTTATGAAAGTGATACGAATTCATTAGAAACCATACTTCAAGAACCCATGCAACCATTCTGTTTTTAGTTTTCAGTATTCAATAAATAACATGAGCTATTCAACACCTTATTATAAAATAGGCTTTGTGTTAGATGATTTTGTCCAACTGTAGGCTAATGTAGTGTTCTGAGCACATTGAAGTTTGTCTAGGCTAACCTATGATATTTGGTAGGTTATGTGTATTAGATGCATTTTCAACCTGTGATATTTTCAACTTACAGTGTGTTTACTGGGATAGAATCCCACTGTAAGTCATGGAATATTTGCATATGCTTCTCCTTGATTTTGTTTTTGTTTTTTTAAATTTGGGGTAACATGCAATAATTTGTACACTCGGGCCCATGTAGCAAGGTAATTGGATTAAAAATTAACATTCATGAAAGAATGAGAAATCATTTCCCTTGTTCCCATTTGGTTTTGTGGGTTTAGATCCAGACCTTCCTTTTGCCCAAGGAAAGCAGTGAATGCCGTGATGGAGAGCATTCAAAGGTATGCGAGTGGGAGGAGTTGGAACTTTTCTGGAGATGGGACACATGAGGTTGCCTCCTCAAGCAAATAGGGACATGGCCCCATTCCTACACAGTCCTGGAGCATGAAGGTATGGTCCCATGCCATGCAGACCTGAGGCTCAAGTAGTTCACCAAGGCCTGGGACTGAGCCCTGAGTGCTACCACCCCCGTTGAGCTGCAGACAACATCCAGGTGACTGAGTGGGGTGATGGAAAGCATCATGTCACCACCCACAAGTAGATCATGTGGACTCAGACCAGGAGTTATCCTAACACCATACATCAATGCTGATGCCCATATGTTTTCTGTGTCTCCGTATGCCCCAAAACAATCTGAGGAAGGAAAGCAGTTTTGCTCCTTAAGGCCAGTGGGGACTTCAGGTAAGTGGGGGCTCAGAGTCAGAGTTGGTTTGATTTATAAAAATACAGACACGTGATCTTTTGGAACCAAAGCAATGGAAACTCGTAAACACATTCATGACTTATTTCACTTACATCATCTTTGTTCAGCTCAAGGGGAGATAGTTAGTATGAGCTTCAGGCCCAGGTAGATGGAGTTGGGTTCAGCCTCTGCCATTTGCTTAATGTAATAATACTCAAAACATTTAATATCCTTAAGCTTCAGTGTCCTCATATGAAAAATGGGGGAATTAATACTGGTCCCATGAGATTTTGTAAAGATTAGATCATATTTAATAAACTGTGTTAGAAGTGTGGGTCAAGGTGCTTAGTACACAATATATGCTCAGTAAATAGCCTCTGCTTGTAATAACAGTTATGATAGTAATTTTGGTAGTTGAAGGGATAGTAATAATTGTCACAGAAACAAGGATTTTATCCCCATTTCACAGATGAAGAAATAGGCTCAGGGAAAATAAACATCCCCAAGAGTTACAAGGAATTTTGCCCACCACAAGACACAGTCTAAAACCTGGACACAGTTAATTTTAATGAAATGTCTGATTGAATGGATTAGTGAAAGGAGAAAACAGGACCAGTGGCATGGAGAGTAGTCTGAACACTCACAGAGGTCTAAAGTTGTGTGCAGATGTGACTGACCATCAGCAGAGAGTTACGTTGGGAAGTGTCTGGAGTCGGGGGCTCTTCCATAAAGGGCTAAGCTGGCTGCTTGTAGGTCGGGGGCCGTGCTGATATCCCAAAACTCAAAGGAGTAAGTCATATACTAGGGTTGGGTGGGCCACCACCATCCTGGGCACCCTCTGGCCTTCTGACCTCATGACGAGCCCAACCGGGCATGTCCCAGAGACCTTGAGTGCCAGATAATCTTGAATATGCCCCTAGCTCCACACATTTGGAATTTTCCAAAAGTCTATCTATCTCTATAATTATGCTTGGCCAAGATTGCTAAGTCTTGATGGCACTGGGCAGGCAGTGGCTGCAGAGGGAGAATGGAAGGGGCCAGGAGTTAGGCACTCCCTGTGTGATTTTGGAGGGTCATTCTATCCTGGAACCTTACTGTAGCCATCTGCAAATGAAGGAACTAGAAAAGGTGAGGGAGATCTCATGTCATGCCAAAGGCCAAGGTTAGGAGTGTCTGCCTTGAGTGCAGTGCTGAGAGGGGATCAAAGCGGAGTGTCAAGGTTGACCAGTGATTATGAGGGAAGAGTCAGGGCCCATATGAGGAATGAAGTGCCTAAGGATACCTAAGTGCCTAAGGAAAAGTGCCTAAGGATACCTCCAGCTCTAACAGCCACAGATAAATTGTGTGGAAGAGGGGTTACAGCATCTCATAGACCAAGTGGATCCTCAGGATTGAGGTTGAAGGCAAGCCAGGATGCTTTCTGTCCTGTGACTGCAGGGCTGTGGCCTAAGTGCCTCTCAAAACTCACAGATGGCCAGCCGGTACTGCAGGCAGTTCCTGTCATTCCACTGCCCATCTGTGTACATCTCCACACATTTCTCTCTGCCCCAGCCCTTGGGCTCCCCTGGGTACCACTTGGTATAGTTCACAGGGGCCCCATCCAGGTAGTGGAATTCTCCAGGGTTGGAGCCCTCAGCCAGGCCCAGGTAGGCATAAGTGTTGTATTTCTTCACGATGCTTGCAATGGCCTCATTTTCCTCTGGACTCCTCGGGACAGCGATGTGACCGCCTGCTCTGGCACATAACTCTCTAATGGCATCAAAATTGACCGACTGCCCATTGGTGGAGAAGACCTTCTCTCCCACAGTCAGCATGGACCCCTGTAAAGTGAGGACTAAGAGCAGAGGGGTCCAAGTCAGGCCACTGACCTCTTCATCCCTAGGTCCCTCTCCCTTGTTTGAGTTCTCTGCCATCAGGCTCTCTCCAATCTCATCTCTGCCCTCCCCCCACCACCCCCGTCTCCTCTCCCTCTTCCAATCCTAGCTTTCTAAATTCCCTCCATGCTTTGATCCATCCGTTCATTCATTCATCCACTTAACAATTACTTATTGCCATAAATGGTGCCATTTCCTAGAATTCAATAGAAAGCAAGATTGGCAGAGAACTTGCTTTTCTAGGACATCAGGAGCTAAACATGCCTGTTTTATCCCCTCTTAGAGACAGAAGACATCAGGAAAGAAAGCATCTTTCCCTTTTCCAAGACCTGCACGTCCACACTTGATTGTTAGGTTCTTGAGTTCTGGAGGCAGGTGCTGAGGTGGAGGGGAACTTGTGGAAGACTCCCACCCTGTGAGGCCCTGAGGGGCTCCCCTTACCTCCCATTGACTGCAGGATTTGATGTTTCAAGTCCTGGAGTGTGGTTTGGAGCTCCTCATCTTGATAAGCCGGAAACCCTGTGGCAAGACCCCACCCGGGATGAGGAGCAGGCGAACAGAGTACCCCACTTGCTGCCAAGCGGGTGTTCTGCCAGCTGCAAGCCTTTATTGTCCATACCCACTTCCCAAGCCCCAAGTTATAAGGGCCCATGAGGCTGGAGTGTGTTTCCACACTCCCTGTATACCCATCCTTTAATGCAGCCTTGTACCTGCTAAGCCCCTTGCATCTCCTCTTTCCTGCCATGTCCTTCGAATGGCTCTGTCTGCCCACCTCCGTGGGGTTTTCCTGCTTCCCAGCGGGACTCCTTCCCAACCCCTCCACCAAGGCACACATGGCTGTCTCTGCTCTTTCCTGATGGACTTTGATTACTGCTCAGAGTTTCAGAGCTCCCTGCTGCGTGTGGGATCCCAATCACACCATCTGCCTGGATGCCTGGTCCGTATTACACCTCTCAGAATGCTCCCAGTGCCTCAGCCCCAGGAAGGGCCTCCCCTGTCCCCAGTGCTGTCCTTCTTCTCACACTTGACATAGCGTCGTTCCTTCGGTAGTCATAATACATGGGATGCTTCCTGCACCTGTCTGTCCTGGAACCATGGCCACACTATCCAGGTACCTGTTTCTCTCCTCAACCTCACATTCTCTTATGTTGGTTGAGCCATATGCGTTAGGGATTTGCATGGTGTGTCTGATTCCCTCATCTCCGAGTAACTGACTGCATGGGTGCTGTGCCCATATTAACACTGCCCATCTGCCTTGCCTGCTCACCTGGAGGGCCCCTCTCACCAGGTTCCCCCTTGTCTCCACGCTCTCCAGTGACACCAGGTGCTCCTGTCAACCCATCACGCCCAGGGAGGCCTGGCATTCCACCGGGGGGTCCCATGGGACCTGCAGAGAGAAGGGGACATGGATAAGAGAAACCTATCACCCACAGCAGGATTGAGTCTGAGGTGACTAGACCTCCATTATCACCAGGGCTGACTCATCTGTGCTCTGTGGGTGCATCAAGGATAGACTTTCCAGGATGCTCCAGCCTACGGGCCTTAGGGAGTTCCCACCATGTCCTACTCAGCTGGCTCTTGGACCCAGCCGAGAGTCCTGGACAGATGGGCCTCCTGAAAAGGGGTCTCCTTCCTTAGCTGAGGGTAGGGTCTCCAGCACAGTACCTGGAGGTCCAGGGTCTCCTTTGATGCCATCTCTCCCATCTCTGCCTGGCAGGCCATGGGATCCAGGAGTGCCAGGGATACCAGGGCTTCCAATACAAACGTCCTTCACATCGCACACAGTGCCAGAAGCTGCCATCAAGATGAGGGTGAGGGCCAGAGTGTATAGCAGCATGGCTGTAGCTCCAGTTGCCTCTCCTGCAGAAGGGACGGCCATTAGCCCATTGTGGTATTTATGGATGTCGGACCCCCAGGGCCTTTGTTGGGACTCAGGAACAGAGCAGTCTGAGAGCCAGGGAAAGTCCAGACAAGGGCCCTGGGAAGACCCAAACTATCTGTGAAAATCCCCAGCATCATCTGTATCTCACATAGTCTCATGCCCCATCTCTCTTGCTTAAGATGGTGTGGTCCCTGGGGAGCATCCAAGGACCTGGGTTCCAGCGGAGTCTCTTCTCTGTTAGGGCCTCACTGTGTGACCCTGGGGAACTCTCTGCACCTCTCTGACTTTAGCTGAGTCTTCTGTGCTCCAAAGACAATCCCGACCTACCTTTCCCAGACAGTTAGCAAGGGAGAGGTCACTCATTCATTGATTCAATTTGTCACTCAAACTCTCTTATCCTCTTCCCCCTTTTCGGGTTCTAAAGGATTATGGACTTGAGATTGAAAAGGATGGAACAGGGTTCACAGCCTGCCCCCACTTCAAGGTGGTCAGTGACAGGAAGTTTCCTCCCCTTCTTCTTGGAGGGCTGTCTTTCACTAACCCTGCAGGTCCTGCTGAGGCCCTGGTGGGAATAGACCTCACTGATGAACACAGCAAAGTACAAGGATATTGGCAAGTCCTACCTCCTGCACCCATATTTACAATGCTGTGGAACACCTCCCAGTGGGGCATGAGGAGGCTCTCTTCTCCCTAGTCCAGGCTTTATCTAGGCCTGTGGCTCTAAATAAGCCCAGGGGATGAGGCTAAACTCACCCTCGCACAAAGCCTCCAGGCTACAGGGTCTCCAGGCTACACGGTCTCAGCCTCCAAGTCAGAGTGGAGAGTTGGACAGCAGCATTTATAGGGATGCTGGCTGCCAGGCTCCCTCCCCACACCTGGGAGGCCCTGGCTCCTGTTGCAAGGGCCTCTACTGTAGGGAGGGCCCGGCAGGAAACAGCCATCTTGTTTACACAACACATTTCCCCTCAGAGCACTCTGGCTGAAGCAGCACTTAGGACCCTTGAGGGGAGCACAAAACCTGCTAAAGAGAAACTCTAGGTCTGTAAGAGGGGAAATCTCCCACTGCCTGAGGTCATCCACTCTCCTCTCAGCAAACTTCCTTAGCATGGAAGACGCAAGCCCTTACATGGGGCACTGATGGAGATCCGTTCAGTTCCTGGTTTGGTTTTGGACAGTGCAGAGGCTGTGGCTCAAGTTGAGAATGGTCAGGTTGAGCCAGAGCAAACTGTCTGTGCTGGGACCTGGCTCACCACTGAACGCCCCAGATTCCTCAGTACCTGTCTCTGGAGCCTGCAGCTGAGTTGGTGGGCACATGGGCGGGGTGACTGGCAAATACGTTTGCACAGTCCACTTCCCACTGCCCTGGCAGTTTCAGCTGAGGTGAGGCAGGGCGGCACCTGGAAGCCCACAGGTGGCAACTTCTGTCTTTGACCATGGGTGATGTCTGGCAACCTGCAATGGTGATATTCTAAATGATTCAATGATATATGAAGCCCTAATTGATAAGGTGCTCCATTCAAGCCTTTAGGTTAGGAGGGAATCTCTAACTGTGGAGGTGGTAGCAAAGAGGAACCAAGATAAGAAAACATCCCCATGCTTACTTGGATTGGCTTGAAAAATCTTGAGACCCTCAGGGAGTGTGAAGATTTTCTAGGAAGTAGGAGCCCCACTAATGGACCCCATGCTGAGGGGCAGGAAGCCAGGCAGTGCCAATTTGGAGCACTGTGTCCTTCAGCTGCCCTGGTGCTGCCTGCTGCACTTTGAGGTGGGCTCTGGGTCAGGTGTGGGATGGGGGAGCCAGGGTCAGTGCAGGGCAGGGACAGGTGGGGAAGCATCTTCACCAACTAAGCTGCAGGGAGGGAGGGCTGTTTTGCAGGTAAGGAGCAGAATCAGAGGCCAGCAGCGATGCCCAGGGGCTTGTGGTTGATGGGGGGGCGTGGCTTTAGGGGGCAGACACACCTGAGTTTCAATCTGGATCTGCCACTTATGACCCATGTGGCCTCAGTCTGGTAATACAACTTTTTTTTTTTTTTGAGTCGGAGTCTCACTCTGTCACCCAGGCTGGAATGTAGTGGCATGCTCATGGCCACCGCAGCCTCGGCCTGCTGGGCTCGGGCGATCCTTCTGCCTTAGCCTTCCAAGTAGCTGAAACTACAGGCACACGCTACCATGCCTGGCTTATTTTTTTATTTTATTGTTGAGATGAGGTCTCACCAAGTTGCCCAGGCAGGTCTCCAACCCCTGAGCTTAGGCAATCCTCTTGCCTCAGCCTCCCAAAGTGCTGGGATTACAGGCTTGAGCCACCATGTTTGGCGCAATACAACATTTTCAGCCTCCGTTTTCTTTTGGTTATTTTGAAACTATACCATACTTACAGAAAAGTTGCAGATAAAGTGCAAATATCCTTTTCCTTGACCCTAGGTTCCCAACATAATGCTCCATCATTTCCATACTTTAATGTGTATTTCATTCAAAGATGCTTTCCCATAAAACCACAATATAATTATCCAAATTAAGAAATTAACACTGATACAATAACTCCAAATAGCCTTCAGGCCCTATGCAAAATTCACCAAATTTCCCAATAATGTTCTTTATGGCAAAAGGATTCAGTTCAGAACCATGTGCCTTATCTTAGCTGTCATATCTCTTTTGTCTCCTTAAATCAGAAACAGTGCCTCAGTCTTTCTTTAACTTTCATGACCTTAACACTTTTTGAAGATTGCAGGCTAGTTATAGTATATAATGTCTCTAATTTAGTTTTTCCTGATGTAATGCCTCATGAATAAATTCAGGTTCTGCTACTTTGGCAGAAACATCATAAAAAAGATGCTGTGTTCTCATCATATTCTCTCATGTGTCACCTCTGATATTAATTTTTATAATACTGATGATGTTCACTTTGATCATTTAATTAAGGTGGTGTGTACCATGCTTCCCCACCATAAACTTTTTCTTTTTTTAAAATTAATAATTATTTTGGGAGGAAGTACTTTGGAACGACTGCAAAGATCCCATTCTTCGTCAAACTTCATTTTCTCCCTCGTTATTTATTTCAATGGACTCATGCCTGAGACATACCAAAGTCCACTCGGGCTGTAGGCAAGAGGGGGGTGCATTATCTGTAGATAATTTTAAACCACCTAGTTTATTAGCATATTGTATCAACAAGTATAAAGACTGTGGTTCATTCCTCCTCCTACATAGTTGCTTGTTTCTCTTAGTTCTGACAATTGCTGCAGACACTGCTGTGTTCCGAAGTCCCTGCCACCACTCCACTGCCTCCACACCTCCATACGCTGCTCAGGCTCTAACACCCCCGACTAGGCAACTTTCCTCCTCAGGTCCCCTCCTCAGTGTCTTACACCCCACGCTGAGCCACCTCCCTATGTGGGGACATCCTCTTCACACTGCCCAACCAAGTCACCTCAGAGTACGCGATCTCACTCGGCTTGTAGTCCTATGCCCTACGGAAGGACACCTTCCCGACTCAATGTGACTGAAACCAGAAAGAAGATATTGTCCCATCCACAAAGGACACCTTCCCGACTCAATGTGACTGAAACCAGAAAGAAGATATTGTCCCATCCACGTGTGGGTAACATAAAACTAAAGAAGTGCAAAGTGCGAGGTCCCTGAGGACAGGGCTGGGACTTCTATGCAGATCTGAGGCCTTTGTCTTAGCTGCTCAGGGACGCTTTACCCTTCCCCTTGTCATTCAGCTGCTTTGGGTTCTAGCATTCTAGCAGGATAAAGCCTGTATGTGCTGTCTGGAGCTTTTATGGTTTGTCGATTTGTTTGTTTTGTAATCATTGTAGCACTCTATGAGGTGTACAGAAAGTAAATCTTCATTTGATACTCAGTCAACTGAGGCTGAGAGGGGTTGTATAGATTGTCCAATTTACCCAGATGTTTTCTATTCCCGCTTAATATTTTGCAAAAATATTCCCAAAGGCAGAGGGATGTGCTTACTATACTTCTACCTAAAGGCACAGGCATGCACAAATTAATTGACTAAATACAGACATATTTCTAGAATGTGCTCTCTATTGCCTGAATCCTGAGTGGACGGTTCCCTCTAGTGGCCTTTGGTATGCCTCAGACATGAGTCTGTGTTGATATAAATAAACAAATTGAGGGTTATAAACCGGGGGTGCCAAAAAAACGTATACACATTTTAAGAGATGTTGTCTATGTATTACTTTCAGTTTGCCATAATCAGAAGTGTCTGGATGCTGAGCACCTCTTGTAATTGCAGAAGTCAAGTGTGACTTATATTCATCTTTTGTTATCAATATATATTGAGAATGATAATTTTAATACAGTTTTTTTTCTTTCTCTTTTTCTCTTTTAAATTTTTTATTTTAAAGATGTGGGTACAATTCAGGGTTAGGTATACAAATGTTCATTATGCAGATACCCTTGTTGACAAGGTGTGCTCCCCCCCAGCAGATTCCCACTACCGCCTTCCTCCCCCAACCCCCTAGCAGTTTCCTGCTACTACCAATCCTTTTCTCATAGTATTATGATAATTGTTCAAGGTCCGCTTATGAGTGACAACATGTGATACTTGGTTCTTTGTTTCTGTGATACATCACTCAGTACTATAGACTCTAAGTCCACCCAGGTTGCTGTGAAGTTCATGATTTTGTCCTTCTTTATGGCTAGGTAATAATCCATCATGTATATGTATCACATTTATTTTATCCAGTCCTCTTTTGATGGGCAGCATGGTTGGTTCCGTGTTCTTGCTATTGTGAACAAAGCTGCAGTAAATATTTGTGTGCAGGTATCTTTTCATAGAGTAATTTGGGTTCCTCCGGCTATATTCCCAGTAAGGGGATTGCAGGGTTGTATGGAAGGTCGATTTTTAGAACTTTTAGGAATCACCATACTGTTTTTCACAGAGGTTGTACTAGTTTACACTCCCACCAACAGTGTAGAAGTATTCCCTTTTCACCACATCCTCTCCAGCATC